TCACTGGTTAACTGGACGTCATTAACTTCATGCAGACTCTCTCACTGGTAAATTGTCATCTTTAAATCACTTCTTGGTCTGCTGCCTTCATACATCTCCACCTCCATGTCTCTGCGTGAGTGCAGCTACAGCGTGCGCTCTCAGGACATTATTACCTGCAGTGTTCCCTCAGTGAGGACTGACCTAAGCAAAAGGGCCTTCTCCTACTCCGCTCCTGTTTCCTGGAATATCTTACAAAAGATCTGAAGCTCTCAACAGTGACCTCTATAAGTGGCTTCAAACATCTGCTAAGTTAACTGGCAAAAACCAATGCAGACACGTTCCTGTTTTTAGTTTCCTACACCGCCTTATAATCTAGCTGTTTTTTTGTTTTTGTTTTGTTTTTCGCTACTTTTTTCCTCCTTTCGACTGTCCTTTTGGTTGCCATTTTATGTTAATTTGTAAAAATAAATAAATAAATCGGTATGCCTCTTTTATGACTGTCTATTGTTGTCGTTGTCATAACTCTTTGTTAAAGAAATCAGGTCTCTTTTGTAAATGAGTCCCCGAGGCTCAATGGGATTAACCTGTATATATAAAGGTTGAATGAGAAAAATAAAGATTATTCTTTGTATAGTTGTAGTTCAGTGCTGTATGAATGGGTGAATGAGGGCACAGATTGTAGTGCTTATCTTCATAAGATAGAAAGGTGCTATATAAGTACAGTCCATTTACATATTATTATAAATCACTATTAATAATAATAATAATAATTACTGACATTAGAAAACACAAATATGTCTGTAACGTTATAGATTTTACAGACATTGACATTAATCTTGGTGTGGCAGTAGCTGATCTGATCTCCAACACATATTCTTAGCACTAACGGATCACACACAAGATCTTTATTTAAAAATGTCCATTAACTATATGGAGTCAACTGTCTGTTAGCAAAATATTCAATGAACCACTGGATGGTTTTCGATAAAATCTTTAGGACATAATCTCTGAGCAAACATCTACAAATGATTAAATTTTAAACCCAGTGCAATTCAAGATGTCACCACAGCCAAAGGACCTACCACAAAAACAGCTAAAATTCAGCTAATTTTACAAATATTATGCTCAAATTTATCACGTTCATATCTGGGACTGATCCGCAACACAAGATATTCAGAACAACTGCATGAGTGTGCGCAAACTTTTCTTTTTCAAGGTTTGATCGAACTCCAACTCAAGTCTAAAACTACTGCACGATAAACGATGGGCGACATGCATTCCTTTAAGAAATGTGATTCCTTTATTTAATCATTAAAATAATTTATTTAGCGGTGAGTTAACAGCTGATAGCGTGATTGTTAACACTACAACACACAGTGAGAGATTAAATCATTGATTAGTAAAGCAGCTGATTCAATATGCAGATATTTGTGACAAAACACATTTTCTTCTCCATTATTCTGTTGATATCTCATTATTGGCTCAATACAGCTGAAGAAATAATCTCATTTCATTCTTTAGCTTCTAGGAGGAACGTGATATACATCATTTGAAAATAAATAACTAAAAGATCAACAACCAACTTTTTACGCAATCCCAGTTCTGAGAAGTTTGTAAAATGTATAAATAAAAAGAAAATGCAGTGATGTTCACCTCAAAATCCCATTTTATTCGCAGTGAAACAACAAAAAATCAAAATGTTTTAACTAAGAAAATCTTAATTTTTTTTGTGGAGTAAAAAAATAAGAATTTCTAATTTTATGGCAGCCACACGTTTCAAAAAGTTAGAACTCTAGTTAGACTCTTGGGTTAGTTGTCAACAGGTCCGTCAGAGGAGTGAAAAGAGCATTTTAAAGAGGCCGAATTGTTCAGAAGTAAAGATGGGCAGAGGTTCACCAGTCTGAGAATAACGGTCTAAAAATATGGAACAATTTTAGGATATATGATCCTTAGTTAAAAATAGAAAATCTTTGAATCTCCATCATCTCCAGTGCATAATCTCATCAACAGATTAGAAGAATCTGTGTAAATCTCTGAGCTCTAAGTCCATATTGAATGGTCGTGATCTTCGGACCCTCAGGGGTCACTGCATTTAAAACAGGTCTGGCTCTGTTCTGGGCTCTGAAACACTTCCACAGATCATTGTCTGTAAACTCCGTTCACAAATGCTGCTTAAAGCTCTATCAGACAAAGAAGAAGACACCATCCAGAACTGCCGACGTCTTTTCTGGGACTGAGGAACTGTTCTGAGGTTCTTTTTGGAAACACCACGTTCTCTGTACTAAAAAGGAGGGAGACCATTCAGCCTTTAAATACCACAGTTCAAAAACCTGCCTCTCTGATAGTATAGGGGTGCATTAGTGCCTCTGGCATGAGCAGCTTACACATCAGGAAAGACTCTAGCAATGCAGAAAAGTATCTACGTGTTTTAGAACATGTGCTCCCATCCAGATGACGTCTTTTTCAGTGTTGGTCTTAAACCACAGCCTGCACCATCACAACATGGCTTCATGGTAGAAGAGTCCAGGTGGTGAGGTGGTCCGCCTGCATTCCAGACCTCTTCCCAATAAAAACATTTGGCACATCATGAAATGAAAAATCCGGCAATGACGGGACAACATTCCCTCCAAAAGGGCTTCACAGATGGAAACGTGGATCTGAACATTTACGGTTACCCATTTTCAATAAAAAATGGGTTTACGAGATTAGATAATCATTGGATTCTATTATGATTTACATTTTACACAACAATCCTAATTGTTGGTTTCTCAGAACACGCTATCGGATGATTCACTGTCTCTCAGTCCGAAGGCAACATGTTCAGCACAATGGTACTTCTTCTAGTTATTTGTCAAAAACGGTGGACCACAAGGCTCAGTCTTAGGACCCACTCTCTTTACAATTTATATATGTAGGTCAGAACATTCCTGACGCATCCTTGCACCTCTATGTCGATGATAGTTTATTGTTGAGCTAAACACGCTATCGGATGGTTCTCTTAATTATCTCTGTCCGAAGGCAATATGTTCAACACAATGGTGGTACTTCTAGTCATTTGTCAAAAATGGTGGACCACAAGGCTGTCTTAGGACCCCCTCTCTTTACAATTTATATATGTAGGTCAGAACATTCCTGACGCATCCTTGCACCTCTATGTCGATGATAGTTTATTGTCGAGCTAAAACTGTTGCTAAGGCTTTCCAGCTTCTAGTCTGCATTCAACATCATCCAGTCAGATTTGTTCCGTCTCAAACTGGTGATAAATGCTAATAAAACCTAAGGGGTGTTGTTTTCAAACAGGAAGTCGGTACCAGCATGGTGTTCCTTCTCTTACTCTGCTGCTGTAATCTGGAACATCTTGCAAAAAGATCTGAAGCTGTCCACTTTGACCTCTCGAAGGGATTTTAAACAATTGATAAGTTCAATGCAAAAATCAATGCCGACATGTTCCTGTTTTTAGTATTTTACAATGTTTTATAATGTAGCTTCATTTGATATTGTTTGATATCACTACTTTAAAAAAAAAACTTTATTTGCATTCTATTGTTGTTTATTGTTGCGTCTTATCTGTGGTTTGTCTAAAACGGGTCTCTCTTAAAAACGAGTCCACGAGGCTCAATGGGATTAACTTGTATAAATAAAGGTTGAATGAAAATTTTCAAACTGGAGCTGCAATTTATTGAGACAAGGTGATGACGGTGCAAATTCAACAAAGAAAATAATCGACAACAACGTTTCGATCGGATCCGTCGAGGGAAAAAAAAAAAAGAAATAAAATTCGGGTCTGTATTTAATACATTCATCAAATCCAATTTTAAATCCATGTTCAAAGGCTTTATTATGATATTTACATTATGAGAGTCTGCTAAAACTAAAATGTGCTGAAGAATAAATAGAAACAACAAACTAATAACAGACATGGCGTGTTGTTGACAGAAAACAGGACAACAATCTAAGAGTCAGTGCACGTTTCGTGCTCAGAAGAAGCTTTTCTTGAGTTTGATCGTCGGTGCAGCCGGCACGGCGGGCTGAGCTTGCCTCGCTGCAGCTTTAGCTTTGCTGCTAGCCTGGTTGGCCCGTATCGCAGACTCCAGACGGGTTTTAAGCTCAGGCGCGGCGCCGATTACAATCTTGAAGGCAGCTGGGTAGAGAGGTCCGATCCGCATCAAGTTCTGAAGGGCGAACTCGTGCAGGCTTTTAGACACTTGGGGGGCGGAGGAGATGGCGTTTTCATCCAAAAGGTAGGAGATGAGCGTCGGGACCAGCAGAGCCAGCAGCTGCACACCTGTTGATCGGAACACGTGTTAAAACTACAAGAGCAGTGTTTGTTTGTGGAGCACTGGGTGTGGTAGTAGCTGAGAGTTATCAACATTATCTCAGCGCTAACAAAAGCTAACATCACTCGTTTGTCTAAAACTCTGGCATGGAAAGGCTGCGGGCGATCTGCATTCCTGCAGAGAAAGCTCAATTTAAACCCAGGTGAGGCCAAAAGTCCACATTTTTAGAATTTGTCACCTAATTTTACAGTTTTAAAAGTAACCTGGCGTGTTCTGGAGGAAGATGAGAACAGGCTGGTGTGGTGTCAGCCAAGTTAATTATAGTTGAGTTAGTTTCATAAAATAACCTGATTAGTGTCATTGAATGGTTGACCAGAGGACCATAAATGGCACATAATACGTCTGTCAGTAAACTGTCAGAGTAATAAGAATTTAAAGCACACAACAGTCCTCAGTATGAGTCTCTCTGTTAGGTGTATCCATGATTGAGGGGGGTTAAAGGTCATTGTCACTGATAATGGCGTCCGTGGTTTGAATGGACAAACAGGTCAAATAATGAAACTGCAGCTGGTGTGACGAACTCACCTGTTGATGAATACCAGCTGATCCAAACCATTTTACCATCTGACTTCACCGGAACCACTCAAGGCTTCTTTGGTGACAGTGGTCTTAATTAGGGATGAACGATATTATCGGCATGGTAACGGTACATATTAGCGTTAAAGTTCAATATCGGAGATTGGCCATTCCATCAAAATAACTCACCGATATAAAAGGCGCTGTTTTTGTATGACACCCAGTGACAAGGATGCCTGCAGCGCCGGCACCACGTGATGACGTCATGCGCGCCTACCTGATCTGATCACGGCGGAGAGGAAGAAGTCAAAATGTCGGCAGTGTGGAAGGTTTTTTTTTGTTGAGGATGGACAAAGGACTTTTCTAGGTTACTGGGATGTCAAGTTGGAGCAAAAAAGGGGTGACCTTGACCTTTGACCCAGTGACCTTGAAATTAACTAGATAATCTGTTGACCAATAAGCAGTCCATTTATGCAGTTTGACATTCCTACAGTGCATGACGGTGGAGTTAGAGCTTAAACAAGGTTTTCACAAAGGGGTCACCTGTGACCTTGAGGTTTACCACCATGACCTTGAAATCAATAGGGATCATGCTTTGACCCATGAGGTGTCCAGGTGCGCAGTTTAACATCCCTATGTTAAGGCGTTATCAATTTAGAGCTCGGACAACAAATTGTCCACGGACGGACGGATGAAAACCAAACGGTGTTACAATAAGCATCGAGTTAAAAAAAACCTAAACAAAACTTCTTAACATACTTTTATATATTTAACTGGTAATTTATGTAAGAAAGAGGGAGCATACAGAGCTGACAGCATGAAGAGCATAATGTCCAAATCGATACTGAAACAGACGGTAAACCAGCGCATGGCTTCTAAAAAGAGCTGGTAATGCTTTAATGCTGGAGGCAGCCGACGTCCAGAGGCCGAGTGCTTTAATGGAGCCGAACACTTCAGTGAAACCATTACCGTACTTTAGCTGTCCATTAGCAAAGGTATACTCACGGTTCTTCTCTTCGCCCATGCTGACCAGATTCTCCAGGACCCTGATGCCCTCCTGCACGGCCTGCAGCTCGGCGGCGGTCCCCGGCCGACTGCGCTCCACGGCCTTCAGCTTCTCCACCATGAGCGGCGCCAAGGCGTGGATGTAAGGCGTGGAGAGGGCTCGGTTGGCGTGCTGGAACACCGACAGCAGCAGCTGGTAGCACCGGGCCTGAACCTGCAGCAACCAGTTCAATCACACACACGTGTCTGGATTTGTCGTTGACTGAATGCTGAGTCAGCACTTTGGTTTTCCTTTAGCTTTTTCTGTAGGTTGTTTTGAAATCCTACTGTTTACTTTGTGCTGTTTTAGCTGTTTGTGCATCAAAACGTTCAGATAATTCAGGAGAGGGGTGCTATGAGTTCTGGTTTATGAAGTTTTTTTTTTTTTTTTTAAAGAATCTTTACCTTTATTAAAAAAAAAAAAATCTTCAGTTAGGAACCTAGTTCAAAAATCTACAGAAACATTTTTCTCTTTAAAACATACTTTAGCTAATATGTTATTTATGCTAATTTTAGCTTCTAGCTAGCAATTTAGAAGTTTTAGCTTTTAGCTAACGTTTTGTAACTTTTAGCCTTTAGCTATAAATTTTCTACTTTTAGCCCTACTTTGTTTAGCTTTTAGCAACTGTTCTGCTCTTTAAAGTTATCCTTTTGCCACTTTTAAGTTTTCAGGTCTCTCTTGTAAATGAGTCCTCGAGGTTCAATGGGATTAACCTGTCAAAGGTCGAATGAAAACTTTTAGCTATTTTTTGTCACTTTTAACTTTAAGCTGCCTTTTTGCTACTTTTAGCAATCCTTTGCCAATTTTAGCTTTTAGGTACCTTTTCATTACTTTTAGTTTTTAACTATGATTTTGCTACTTTTAGCTACTATTTTCTGCTTTTAGCTTAGGTTCTGTTTATTTGCGCTTATAGTCTTTTACACTTTTAGCTACCATTATGCTATTTTTAGCTACCTTTTAACTCCTTTCTGTGCCATTTTAGCTACATTTAAGCTACTTTCTGCTGTTTTGCCAATGTTAACCACATTTCTGCTTTTAGCTTACAAGTAATTTATTTTTATTTTGTTTTAGCTACCACTGTGCTAATTTTAACTTGTAACAATAGCTCTGTTTCTGTTCTGTTTAGAGTTTTTATAGCTACTAGCTACAATTTTGTTACTATTATTTCATTTCAGTTTTTGTTTTGCTCATTTTTAGCTCCAGTTTTGCTGACTTTAGCTCATGTTTTGCTGACTTTAGCTCCTGTTTTATTGGCTTTACCTCCAGTTTTGCTGCTTTTAGCTCCAGTTTTGCCGCTGTTAGCTCTTGTTTTGCTGGCTTTAGCTCCAGTTTTGCTGG